TTTTTACTTGGATGTCCCTGAGAAAAGCAGACGATCCCAAAAATGAATAAATAAATAAATAAATAAATAAAACCTTAACTTTGCACATTTCCAAAAAATCTGAAGCCAAAATACATTTGCAAAGAGATAAGCAAATGGGACAAGGACAACGTCCACCAAATAAGTGGCCAGGTTTTCTAAAAAATTATTTTTAAGTATTTCCTGGNATGGGCCCATGCTGCACAGCCCAGGGCATGATGTAGTCCCCAAAGGGCAGCTGCTGTGTTTCTTGGGGAGGAGGATGGGAGTTGTAGTCCAGCCCCTCCGGAAAAAGGCGAGGCAGCCAGAATGATGGGAGATGTAGCCCGTTAACCGTCGCCCGCCCCTGCCTGCCTGGGGATAATGGACTCCGTAGTCCGGCAGCTAGACGAGGTCCTTCCGAGGGTCAGGATGGAAGCCCCGCTTCGCCGGGGGACGCTGGGAACGGCAGTCTCACCTGGGAACCGCGCGACGCCCGCCAACCGCCTCGTCCCCACGGATACCGGACGCCGCTCTCACCTCGCGGGAGGGGGATGGGGGGAGAGATCGAGCAAACCGGAAGCCGAGGACGCCACTCCGGACCCACTTCCGCCCGGTCCCAAGATGGTTGGTGCGCGCGCGGACGATGCGTCATCTCGTAGGCGAGGGGGGGGGCGCGGCAGTGGCCACGTGACCCTCCGGCCCCGCCCTCGCGGAGCCCGCGAGCCTCTCGAGAGCCCAATTTGCATTTTCGGTTTTATTTTTATTTTATTTTTTTCTGGATGGGCGAGAAATTGGGAGTCTTTGGAAGCGCTGGGAGAGAATAATCTTCTCTGAATATGTTGAGGGAAGATGGAAGCAGTCGAAAGAATAAAATGGTTTATAAATATGTATCTATGAGTATTTCTTCTTTATACGGTATATAAACCTTATAAAGATTTTTAAAAAGCCCTATATGAATATATCGATATAATTATTTATTATTTGTGCTGTATATCAACCATATATACTACAGGATAAAATACCAGATATGTAAATGTATATATGTATTTATTCTTTATGCTGCATATAAACCGCATACAGGATAAAATATACATATATAAATATTTATATAAGTATTTGTTCTTTATTCTGTATATAAACTCTATACAGGATAAAATACCAGATATATAAACATGCATATAAGTATTCTTTATTCTGTATATAAACAGTATCAAGAATAGCATGCCAAATATGTACATTAATATCTCTATGTATTTATTCTTTATGCTGTATTTAAACAGGATACAGGATAAAATACTGGATATGTAAATATAATATTTATTCTTTATACTGTATATAAGCAGCATACAGAATACCAGATTTATAAATATATCTTAAGTATTTATTCTTTATGCTGTATATAAACCGAATAGAGGATAAAATACCAGATATATAAACAGTATCAAGAATGTCATGCCAGATATGTACAGTAAATATATAAATATTTTTATTTTTATACTGTATATAAACAGTATACAGAATAAAATACCAGATTTATAAATATATAAGTATTTATTCTTTATGCTGTATATAAACAGTATAAAGGATAAAATGTCATATATGTACAGTAAATATATCCATAAGTATTTATTCTTCATGCTGTATATATGCTCCCCTGGAAGTGTTCAGGAGAGCAGAAGACAAGTGTCAGCCCTTCCAGGTAGACGGCAGGGAAACCGAGTCAGGCAGGCTAATCAGGTCATAGGGAAAGAATCCTGCATGTCTGAATGTACTCCCCCTGCCCTCCCTTTGTCTTCGGGAGAACTAGGGAGGGTCATGTCTGAGTCACTTTCTCGGTACCAATTGTGGGAAGTTATCATCCAGCCCTCTCCCAGAAAAATGAAATATCCTAGGAAATATTGAAAAGGCAGAATATTTCTCTGGATGTGAAAAGAAAGAAACATGTTTTAAAAGACAGAAAGCCTGTAGCTTCCTGCCCATCCCCAGTTAATGGGCCATTGAGATGGCCAGGCTAGCCCACTTTACATAATAAAGACTTCTCCACTGCAGCTGTAGGAAAGCATGATAATATTGG